AAATGTTAGCGTCATCCCGTCGTGATCCCGGTTACGATAATATATATATATATAACAAATATTTAATTCAACAAGATCAATGAAATTAGTTAATTATAATTAATAAATCATAATTTGAAATTTTATTCAGTATTAAATAATTTGCAGTAGGACACATGGATGTCATAATCAATATGCAATAGGTCACTTGGGAGACAAGCTTTATACCACATCGCAACAGTAATTTGTATCACTCATGATAGGGACATAAAGCTTTGAAGTAGTTCAAGACTATTTGTAACTTCTTTCTTATTTATCAACATTTATGTATTTGGGTTTGACACTCCTAGTGTCTCCTTAATGCATTTCTTTTGGCTGATCAAACAGAAGAAAAAAATAGTGTTGGTAGTACTCCTCTAAATTTATATATAAGCAAAAAATGCTTAAATTTTTTTAACTGAAATATAAACAAATTTCAACTGAGTCAACTTTACTTAATGTTATCAATTAAAAAATACCTCTAAAATAATAAATAAGAACACTATCTATAATAAATTTGATTAATGATATTTTAGTAAATGTAGTGTATATCTTATATGAAATCATGAAAATTAAATGCATTTAACTATCTTTTCTAATATGTGTGAAATCAACTTTTTTTTTTACTTATATATAAGTCTAGAGAGAGGAATATAGTTATATTTAATGATACTACTCAAAAGTTAATGAATAATTTTTCCAATAATGAGAATGATTTATAATGTTAGATACGCAATAAATACATTCATTATTATGAAAAATGAGTAAAACGCTTATTAATAAATTCATAATAAATGAAGGATATGAAAGAAAATTATTAATCTATATATTTAAAATTAAATTCATGTTTCTTATAAATCTTAAATATGTTTTTAATCTTTCAAATTTAAAGTAAACTTATTTTTGATTCCTCAAACTTATAATTACTTTTTTTTAAAAATTTTTGTAATATTTAAAAATCTTGTTTTAGTCTCTCAAGTTACCAATAATATATATAAAAGTGATAGATTGAGACAATTATATTATATTAACATGGTTTAATATGATGTTTTTACTAATAAATATAGTAATATGTAGATTTTATACAATTATATTTGACAAACTTATAACAAATATAAGTATAATGACTAAAACAATTTTTAAAAAATTATAAATTAAAAAGACTAATTTTAAATTTGAAGAACTAAAAAATATATTTAAGCTTTAACAAAATAAGAATCTTATTACTTATATATAAAAACAAAGACAATATTATATAATATATATAATATATTTAAGCTTATATATATATATAAATATATATATATATATAATTTTTTGATATAGTGTAATATAAAGAACATATACTTGAGAATGTGATTTTATAGAAAAAATATAATATTCAATTACAATCCTTGAATTAAAATAAATAATTTATATTAAAATATTACAAATAAAACAATCAAGTTACGGTGAGATAAAAGTAAACAATTTTAAGATTAATATAATGAACCTAACGTGGGTTCGTTGAGTTCACTCTTTAACAAAAATAAACTTAAGATTACACCTTAAGCCACTTGTGTAAAATAAAAAAATAAAAAAAAAACTCAAACTCAAAAACCATACTAATATAAAATGTGAAGATTAAAACCATGGTTAAAACATCACGGGGTTACTCAGTTAATCTTCCAATATTTTACTGATGGGGGGTCCCACCTACGATAAATATTAGTACTACACTCAACTTGTTGAGAAAAGAGAAAATGTTCCAATTTCCTTATTGTGGTGTCCAACAAGAGAGCATTTCACCGCCTGCAAGAACGTCCATATTTGTCCGCACCAGGTTAGCCTCAAAGACTACTGTCTCAATGCCAACTGCTTCTTTCCTATCCCTTCAAAATTCTATCCCATTTAATTTTGATCATCCAATTCATCGTGTTCTTCAAAATAATTAACGAAAAGGAACAAATGCAAATGTAGTTTTTTCAGCTGATGTTTAATTATTAAAAATAAGCCATGAAAATTTGTAATATATATCAATAATGAACAATCTGATGAAGGTCTTTATACAATATAATTTCCCCTTTTAATTAAGGGAATTCTATGGTATCAAAAATTACAATCATCAAATAATTAATTAGTTGAATGCCTTATGTTTACTCCCTCTTTATTGAAAATGACATGTTTGTTTGAAGCGCTTAGAGACGTTATCTCAATTAAGGAAAAAAATTATAATTTGAAAACACAATATTGCTTTAGGTACAATCTGAATTGTATATGTCATTTTACATCATGATTTTTGGTTTTGACAGGAAATAAATGGCTTTCATTGTGTTCTCAATCTTTGACTTGTACTAAAACATGGATATTTATTTCTCTTGTTCAATTAGGAATGTTTTTATAGAGATAAGTGACAGTGAGGTTGACATAGCGGACACATTAGAGGAATGGATTCGTGACTATGATGAAGAATTCAAACCTAATCGGCAGTGTGTATTTGATACTTTACAAATATAGGTGAAGACTTTTATAGAAAGTATGCACATGAGGTTTGTTTTCGTGTACCAAATTCAACTGAAACAAAAGATAAAAATGGGGACACAAGGTGGAAATATTTTCTTTTTGTTCAAAAGAAGACTTCAAAATAAAGAACAAGATGCGGTCATAAATGAGTTGCTTGTTGGTGAAAAGAATTGACTAAAGCTAGACGAGGAAAACTAATAACAAGAGAAGGATGTAATGCAAGAAACGTTTTTCAAGAGGATATAATAGAAGGAAAATGTGAAGATTTTCGATTTCATGAAATGCATACACATCACTAGCCGCACCAAGAAAAAAAAAAAAATTCTAAAATATGCTAGGAGTATAAACAATGTTCATAAGAATTTCTTTTGTTACGACAAAGCTAATGTAGGGCCTTCCAAAGTTTATCGATTACTATCATATAAGAAGATAAGAAAACTTACACTATCATGTTATTTCTTAACTCAGTTTTTATTGAGATAAAAAAATTATATCGGATCAACAAGATATAATAAGAGGTTAAACAAAACTATCTATATGTGTTGTCATTATTGTAAATGTAAAATGCATGAAGTCCCGTAATTAGCACAACAAACACCCCTAAAAAAAAACACAACAAACACTTTAATATAACATTGTATGTATAATAATTATCCTATTATATTCTGTTATATCTTATTATTAAAAGACCTTAATATTTATTGTACCTTTGCTTTTAGTTTGGGATAGGAGGGATTGTGGATCCTTCCAACTTTTAGTTCAAATTATGTTCAATGATTGAATACTAAGTTCATATGCAACAATCATGTTGAATGCTAAGTAGTTGACCTGTTGGCCTAATGCAAAGAGTGGGAGAGAAAAGTGTAATATAGTTATAAAATAGTGTAAATATTTCTAAAAGATATAATAAATTTGTTTATGTTTGTTGTAATCATAATGAGTGTATCTGTATTTTTAATTTTTTTATTATCTTTTAATGTGATTATCTTTCTGAATTAAAAAGAAAAGATTTTGGCATGAGATCTATCACATTTATATTCTTCCCTCTTTTATTTTCTTTTATATCAAAGGAGATAAAGATTTTTGATAATTGTGAATTAATTCCTTATTTTCTTTTTTTCTTCTCTTGTTTGTCATGCATTCTAAACAAAGTGTTGATACGAAACTTGATATGATGCCCGACAAATCGAGTTCCATGTTTATGGTGTCTTGTGATGGAATAATGATTGAAACCACAATCACTCACGAAGCCAGCATAGTAGAGGAATGGATTAAATTTGTTTCATCAACATATACTGGAAACCCAAAGGTAGTTGGGTTGGACACTGAGTGGACGCGTGCCCAAAACAAGATGAAAGTCGCAATTTTGCAATTGTGTGTTGAGAATAAGTGCCTAATCGTTCAACTATTCCTGATGAACAATAATATTCCTCAATCCCTAAAGAGCTTCTTTGTGGATTCTGACTTTAAATTTGTTGGGGTAGGAGTGATAAACGATCTTAACATGCTCAAGAGTGATTATGGGTTGGAGAGCAACAAAGGCATTGATATATCTCACTTGGCAAAACAAATATGGCCCGATCGGATTTCTTCCATGGGACTAAAATATTTGGCAAAGGAGTTGGTGGGTCTTGATATGAAGAAATCAAAGGAAGTGTGCACTAGTGAATGGAAAACGAAGGATCTTACCCGTGATCAAATTGAATATGCGAGCATTGATGCCTATGCTTCTTTTAAGATTGGTAAAATGATCCTTAGTGAAGATATCATGAAATATCATGATTCTTGATTAATTATTAGTTGTTACTCCAATCATGTTTGGTTGAATTTTTCTTTATTCACTTGGTAAATGGTATTAAGATCCTAAACATACATGCTGTTTCTAGGTGGATGTTGAAATTAATTTTGTGAATTTGTTTAGTCGTATATATGTGTATGTTGTATATTCACATATAGTATTGATTTTGTGAATTTGTTTAACCACATGGGTATGTTGTATCTTCTTTTTAGCCAAGTTGTTGGCTGTTCCTCCTGCATTTGACTAGGGGGTTTCAAGTTTATTGTTTTATTCCATTCAATTTTCGTCGCTCGATCAAAACACAAAATGCTAGCTAACACTTGATTTCAACAAATGCTGCATGACAAAATACTAACATTTGATTTTAAGATCTGTCACGAGTCTGATCTTATGATATCCTGATAAACTTTTAACACAAACTAAAAAGAAACCTTCCCCGTTCAGTGGAATCGTTGAAGATACATATTTAAATAGTTATCAGAAGCTGGGAATAGAGGGATGCGTTCTCATGTTTCTCTTGTTCTGTGTTTGGAAAATCGGATTTTTATTTTCTTTCTGATGCAAAAACAGTTAAAGTAAATGCGGTGTTCATTTTAAATTACGTCAAAAGTAACGGCAATACAAACACATCCATAACTTCAACACAAACACATCCTTAGTTTGTTTTGTTTGGTCGATAGGCCTCCCTAGCAACTAAAAAATATATAATTTTTTATTAAGTTTAAATATATTTTTATTCCTTAAAAATTATAATTATATAATTTTAAATTTTTAAATTTTAATTAAAAAATTTTAGTCTCAAGTTTACTACTACTACTACTTGAGACTTAAATTGTAATAGTAGTAGTAACACTTGAGACTAAAATTTTTCATAGAATTGTAATTTTTTTTTTATGTATGTGAAAAAGGATGATGGTTTTATAAGGAAATATAACTCATTCTTTTCGAATTAATAGATCCTTATAGAAGTCAAGTATTACTTTGAGTAATGATCACGTTTAATGTGAAAATTGAACTTTCATTAATTAATAAACACAAATATAAAATTACTTGAACTAACAACTTTTGACAAAGAAGAGTAGTAGTTACTAAAAAGTTCTATTTTTTTTTTTCCTCGGTTACTTAGAAAGAAATTTAGAAAATCAAGAATTTTTTTTCCAATGAAATATTCCTTTTATATTAACAGATTTATATACTCTATGAGTTATTTATCATAAATCTAAGTTAAATGAAAGGAAAATATATAATGTTCATCACATAGGTTAAAATACTAGTAAATAAATACTTTAAAAGCATAAGGTATATTATATTTATAATTTAATAACAAATAAATATTTTATTTATTGTAATATAAAAATATTTTAATATTTGCATATTCATATTTAAAATATTAAAAATTAATTTTAAAATAAAATGATTAATGGAAAATTAACTAGAGTAATTTGATATGAATGAAAAAATAATTATGTTATTAATAAAGGCAATATACCCTTTTGGTATAAATATTCTGTTAATCATTTTCTCACTTAACTTCTAAAATACTCTTTTTCTTTTGTATTTTTTATTTAGCTTTTATTCTTTATATATATATATATATATATATATATATATATCACTCTTTCTAGATGGTTAAACTCAAAATTCTAGGTAAACTCATGAAACTTTTGTGGACTTGACTTGTAGGCTCAACTCATAAAGTCATAAGAATTTATTAATCATAAAAATAACATTAAAAAACCTATTAATCACATATATGTATAATATAATATATTGAATACAACAATAATTCAATAATTCAACTCTATAAAAAGACAAAAATATTAAATTATAATAATAAAATATTATAGTACATTAGTATTGAATAGGATTAAACTACGTAAATGATCGAATTATATATAATTTTATAAAAAAACATAGTTCCTAAAGTGAAATTATTTCAAAAAGAAGTTAATTTCAAAGTATTTCATAGTAAAACACCAACACTATGAATTCAATAGAAATAAAAATTACATTTGATTTTAAATTTCCTAACTCGCTTATTGACTCAAAAGCTTATAAGAGTTTACACAAGTTTAAAAAATTTTCTCAAAAAAGTTTTCTTGAAAGAGTTTACTAATAAAATCAACAAGATGTTATATAGTTTTAAGTTCAAAATTTATTATCGTCATTGTAATTCTTATAAATTAAAAAGATATTAAATTATTGTAGGCGTTCATAATATAAAAATGAAAGTTTAAATATATATAAGTTTTCTCTTTTGGTCTTTTTTTTTTTAAGTACTTTATTTTAGTTTTGGTGCATGTCATTTTTTTAGTCTTTGTCATCCATTTATTTTAGATGGAGATGGTAAGTTGGGTCGCAACTTGTTAGTCGACTTGCAAAAAATAAATAGATTAGGTTAGACATCATTACTCGCTAATCCTTTTAGTTCGCTTTGCCTAACCTGTCAATCCTACGGGCCAAATAGTGGTTGACATGGATTGGTCAACCAACCTGCCAAACTTTTATTTATTATTTTTAATGTAAAGTTTAACTAAGTAACATGTGTTATTGTGATTTGTTGTACATTTGATTTATTTTATCATATACAAACTGAGATTTGTTATGCAACAAATTAGTTGAAAAAAATATTATAATTACATATCCATTTTAATACACAAGAAAATTAAGATTTATAGTGCAACAAATTAAACTAAATTTGTTATAATATAAAATTAATTTTATTATTTAGATATATTAATTTATGTGAATTCTTTAAATATTGATAGAAGAATATGTTAGAAGTACCTAAAATATACACACAAACTTTTTCTTCTTCTCATTTTCTCTCTTTTTTTTTGGTTGTTTAGCCTGTTGGTGTAACTCATTCCTAAGTAAGATAAGCCCATTTTTGTTTGGTGAGCTAGCTGGTTTTGATGGACTAATGGTAGGTTGGGTTTAAATGGGTTGAGATGATCCCTTTTATCATTCCTAATTTTAGAAACCAAAAATAAAAATTTATGAAAATATAAGAATTAAAATCAAGCAAAGAATAAAATATAAAAATTAAAAAAATATTTTCAATTAAAAGAAAAAAAATTATCAAAACAAATGGACATTTAGATCAAAAGCTAAAATTAAATCCAATCTACATTTTTTTATCATTGAAAAAAATACATGTCAAATTAAAGTCTAATAAAAATTAGACTCATGATATCAATAAAGCAATAAAAGTTAACGAGGACAAGCCTACCTACCATGTTAGACGAATATCTAAATAAGAAGTATCTTGTTTAACCAGCTAATATGTCTATTAATTTCTTTTCTTTTAAGGTATGATGAGAAGAAACTTATGAAATTTGTATATGATGAATGATGAATGATAGATTTCATTCTGTTGATGAAAATTACGTATGTATGCCAGGAAGATAATTTTGTTGAATTAAATTATAAGATTCTCCTAAAATTCAACATTCCAAGGTAGCAGTTTCTAATCGTATTTATAAAGGCTAAAAATATTTAATATTTTAGAAATTAAGCTGACTCGTCCTTGACGAGGCACCGCGTCGGCGTTGGTAAAGGCTGAGTTGTGAAGGAAGTGGCGGTTGCATCTTGTGGTAATTTCAAACCAATCAAAATTACCAAATCATTAACATCTCTGTTTCCATGAAAGAAAACTGAGGTGCTGCTCCACCACTTGCCAAATCCAACAAAACTTTGAGTCAAAATTCCAACGTAGTACAGTAAAATTTGTGTTCCTATCCGCGTAAACAGAACATGTCTGGAATGGATAAAATTCCGTGTCCTCGCTATTAATTAAACACCACAGTGCAACTATAAATACTTGTTAGTTGTTACCAAACCTCGCTAACTCCAACCTCATTCAATTCAACTTTCATCCTTATCCTGTTTCATTACTGTTCCATTTCACATAACTTCTGTCATTTCTTCAACTCCACTTTAACCTTCTGCTGCCAATATGACGATCACGGCGGCGCCGGCGCTCAAGGACGGGTGCCTTACGGCCAGGGGCAAGGTGGTTCTGACCCACGTCCCCGGAAACATTGTGCTTTCTCCTCTTGGAACAGCTTCCGCTTTTCTGGGTGCAACTTCGACCATTTCAAGTTCCCGTCACGTTTTCAATCTGGGCATTCTCCAGTGAGTAAAACGTTTAGAATCGTGTGAATATTTATTTTTGTTAATGCAGAATATTGATTCTGATTGTATATTAATTAAGAGTCTCTTTGCACACAATTTTATAAATTTTTTACTCAAAAGTACACTTTATATTCAAAAGAGAACTTCAATGAGAATTGTTAACAGAAGGTTATTTTGGAAAACAAAATGCAGGGGATATAAGTTGCTATGTTTGTTCAGAGAGAAAATCTGGTGGATGATACCACGTATAGGGAGATCTGCAAGTGATGTTCTGATGGAAACTCAATTGCTGCTCCTGGAAGCAAGAGAAGAGTCTGCGCTTGAGGATGAGTTTTCTTCTGACTCCGAAGAGCCAACTACGGAGAACACTTGCTACATTCTCTTCTTGCCTGTTTTGGATGGACAGTTCCGCGCAACTTTGCAAGGAACTCAATCAAATGAGCTTCAGTTCTGCATTGAAAGTGGTTAGTTAGTTCACTTTTTGTTTAGCTTCATGCGTAGAAGAAAGAAATGAAAAAAAAAAAAAAAAGAAGATTACTCATTATTATCATCCTCAGCTCAATTATTTGATAGTTATGTGAGTATGACTATAGATTTTTGAATGATTCAGGAGATGCCCACGTTCAAACTTCCCAATCATTTGAAGCAGTATTTGTAAATTCAGGGAACAATCCATTTGAGTTAATCAGGGATTCTATCAAGTATGTTTCTTGTTCTGGATCTTAAGGTTTCTCCGGATGAACTTCTCCATAAACACTTTTAACTTATGACAGAAATAATGAAATAGGTTTTGCTACATTAACTTATTTTCCTTTATAAAGTAGTTTATTTTACTTTTACTTTTTTTTTTTTTTTTTTTAAATGTTTATGGAAAAGTTTATCTAAACAAATACTTAATCTCTAACTGCTTGCTTGTTAGAACTCGGGACACATTACATTTTTAATTTACAATGACATAGGATATTGGAGAAACACAAAGGAACTTTCTGTCATCTTGAAAACAAGAGTATTCCTGCACATCTTGATTGGTTTGGATGGTGCACTTGGGATGCTTTTTACACCGAAGTAACTCCACAAGGAATAAGAGAGGGCCTTCAAAGGTACTAGATACATACTACATTGTAAACTAACTTCACCTACGTGTTAAATAGCTCCCAAATTTTATAGATGTCAATGACAATGACAATTTTGCTTTTATTAATCAGTCTCTCAAACGGGGGTTGTTCGCCAAAGTTTATCATCATTGATGATGGATGGCAAGAGACGATCAATACTTTTCAGAAAGAGGGTGAACCAATGATTGAAGGAACCCAGTAAGTCTCTGTTTTCAATTGAGGCCAAATATTTTTTCCTCCATTTCTTAGTCATCAGGCTCACATCTTTCTTGAACTGTTAGGTTTGCAACCAGACTGGTAGACATTAAAGAAAACAAAAAGTTCAACAACGCAGGCTCCGACAATTCTTGTAACAATCTCCACGATTTTGTTGACTCTATCAAACAGAATATGAATGTAAAGTAAGCTATCTGATCCCATAAAGATACCATACCATGATTGATGATTCCATTGAAACTTAAGAACTGACAATGAGAATAATTCTGCACTATGCAGATACGTTTACATGTGGCATGCTTTAGCTGGTTATTGGGGAGGTGTACTCCCATCATCAGATGCAATGAAGAAATATAATCCAAAGCTTGCATATCCAATTCAGTCATCTGGTATCACAGGGAACCTTAGAGATATAGCCATGGACAGCTTGGAAAAATATGGAGTGGGAATCATCGAACCACAAAATCTGTATGACTTTTACAATGACTATCACAGTTACCTTGCCAGCTGTGGCGTGGATGGAGTCAAAGTAGATGTCCAAAATTTGATAGAAACGTTGGGTTCTGGGTATGGTGGACGTGTTTCATTAACCAAACGTTATCATGAAGCACTAGAGCAATCTGTAACAAGGAACTTTAAGGACAACAACCTCATTTGCTGCATGTCTCACAACTCTGATTCAATTTACAGGTTTGCGTTCTGTCTAATAATTGGATGTAAGTACAATCTAAAATGTAGTATGGATCCCTTTTCTAACTAGTTGTTTCTTTTACATTCTTAATTTTCAGTTCTAAGAAGAGTGCAGTGGCTAGAGCATCTGAGGATTTCATGCCAAGAGAACCAACATTTCAAACCTTGCACATTGCCTCTGTTGCCTTTAACAGTCTTCTTCTGGGAGAGATATTTGTGCCGGACTGGGACATGTTCCATGTAATATTCCTGTCTCATTACTAGGGGTGTTCAAGAAAAACCAAACTAAACTAAAATGATTATGAACCATAAAAACTGAATTATTTTTATAAAAGATTGAACGGGACTATTTTTATAAAAAACTGAACTAAACTATTTGATAACTAAACTGAATTATTTTTATAAAGGGTATTATTGCAAAAATATAATTCTGTGTAGTTCAAGTAGTTCAATTCAGTTCACAATAAAGTTCACATCAAATTTAAGAAAACAGTTCATTGAATTAATAAAATAGTTCAGTTCAGTTCGGGCAAACAATTTTTCTAGTCTTGTATGTTTCACATATGAACATGTTAGTGAGTTGCTTGGTATGATTCTATTTCAGAGCAAACACGAGACAGCTGAGTTCCATGCTGCAGCAAGAGCAATAAGTGGCTGTGCTGTATATGTTAGGTAAGGCACCAGAGCAGATAGAACTAGAATTCTTGGTCTCTTTGGTTTCTCTTTGAAAAACACTTTCTTAATCATATAAAAGTTGGAACAAAAATGTACTTATCAAATTTGAAACACTACAGTGACAAGCCTGGAAATCATGATTTCAAAATCCTCAAGAAGCTAGTACTACCTGATGGATCCGTCTTGAGAGCAAGATATGCCGGCCGTCCTACTCGAGATTGTTTATTTGAAGACCCTGTAATGGATGGTAAAAGGTGAGTTAAAATGCTACTATCTGTCTCTAAGAATGGACAGAATTTTCTGAATACTTTTCATTCTTTACTGAACAGCCATATTATGTTGACTATTTTGCAGTCTGCTGAAAATTTGGAATTTGAATGTCCTGACTGGGGTTATAGGCATCTTCAATTGCCAAGGAGCAGGAAGCTGGCCACTGAAATCATTAGAAGCCACACCCTTGCGCATAACCATTTCAGGGAAAGTGAGACCCCTTGATGTTGAATTTCTTGAAGAGGTTGCTGGTGATAATTGGAATGGAGATTGCATAGTATATGCCTTCAATGCAGGTGAAAATTCTACTACATTACTATTAGTGCATCACATTTTACATGCTTTGCTTTTAGAATCTAAAACACCATTTCTCTAGAAGCACCGAAACTAACCACTGTACAATACTGCAGGCTTGCTTTCCAAGGTGTCGACCAGAGGAAAACTAGAAGTGTCCCTAGAGACTCTCCAATGTGAAATATATACAGTATCTCCAATCAGGGTCAGTAACTCAGTATATGCTAACATTGCAATACGTTTTGTTAAAAGCCTCCCATACCAAGTCTTTAACATGCAAAAATGTTAATGTGTCTAAACAGGTGTTTGGTCATGAAGTGCAATTTGCACCAATAGGGTTGCTTGACATGTACAATTCGGGAGGAGCAGTAGAAGCCCTTGACTGCACCATGGATGTTGCACAGTGCATAATAAAGATCAAAGGTAGAGGGTGTGGCAGTTTTGGAGCCTACTCCAACGTTAGACCGAAACGTTGTCTAGTGAACATGAAGGAGGAGGAGTTCTCCTACAACCCTGAAGATGGATTATTGACCATTAAACTTGGTGGTGAAGGCAATTCAAGGGACATAGAGTTTGTATACTGAGGTGGCTCTGTTAAGTCAGAATAAATGTATTCTGATTCTTCTTCATCTGTATTTTCCCCTCTTTGCTTAACCGGCTAAGACTGAAGTAAGCTTATACAGATTTTTTTTTTGGTGTTGTAACAAAAAAAAAATGACTTCTTTAATTTTGATGTATTGTAGTGTATATATATTTTTGTAGGGATTGTATAATCTATGTATTCATCAGCGTGCGACATTATTATGGTGTTATACTTATATACGTGCATATAATCATGGTTGTTAAGCATTAAATGGATCTCGGAATTTCTAGAGATTAATCTGTGTCTTTTTGTGAGAAAGAAGTGAATGTCATGGTTGGACCTATATAAAAAAGAATTAAAGAAGTTTTAGTAAGTTTCAGTGTTGAAGACGCTTTAATGTATAAGTTTATCTGTGAGAAAGTAGCGAATGTCATGGTTGGACCTATATAACAAAGAATTAAGAAGTTTTAGTAAATTTTCCTGTTGAAGATGCTTTAACATACAAGTTTTAACTATTAAGGTCATGAAATTGTCAACATAAAGAAGGATCATTAAATTTTAATTATGTTGGTAAAATAGGTTGCTCATTATTGTATTGGGACATATGTAAAGCTGTATCACAAAGAAAGCTATTAAACTTTGTTATTGATAATATGATATTTATTTACAATAATTTAACAGATTTTTTATAATAATGAATTATAATGAAAAATTGTATTTTAAATTGAAAAATGATACTTGCACTATAAATTATATAATTAAGAGAGAGAAAGAATGGAGTGAAATGTAATAAATGATAGAGTAATGAGAAATAGACAGAAAATATGATATATAAATTATTGTAAAATTGAGGTAGAACCTTTTAAGTAAAGTTTTGTGTTTAAATTTGTTGAATGAAAAAATCGTGATTACAAGGAGAACATTATAATTTTAGAGGAGAGGTCCTTGTTGAGCCCATATGAAAAGGTCCAATTAGCAAATAAAAGCCCACGTATGTAATATTAACATCTGGTGTTACGATATTTTTGGCAGAAAAACCCCTTCTCCATTTCTTATCCATACATAGAGACTAGAGAGACAGACGCTCTT